TTACACCGTATCACGGGAGTATGGCTGTAAAGTTTTGGCCGTTTTCCAGAAAATTCGGGTAAAACCAGACCGCGCTGAGACGTATTTTGTTTTGATCTTTCGCTGTTATCGTTGGAATGTTTTCGCTTCGGATCGGGAATAAAGTTCTGAAGATATCCCACTTTTGATTGAGAGAAATTCCGGACGCAAGTGATGATTGCATCAGGTGAAACATATTTGCTCATTATTATTTTTACTGTCCCATTTGATAGTTGTTGTAACGGCTCTGGTCTTTTTTTATCGAATAAGAGTGACAAGTGAGCACATAGCCCACCTGATGGTAAGTGGGTGCTGTGGTCCATAGACATCTACATTTATCTTCAATTAAGAATCAAAATGCAGAAGCGTTGTGACCCCTGAGGACCCGCCTCGTTTCCAGTAAAAGGGTCTCCGGTTCTCTACATTCACCATACGAAACACAGCAGCATTAAGCCACAATTTTACGCTGGTATTCTGGGAGAGTGTGGTCCTACCCCGGTCCAGCCGACCCATTCGTGCTCCAACCACAACATGGCTGTAGCATGGCTCTACCACGTATAAATGTTTTAAGAGTCAAAATACATATACGCATGTAATTCCCGAAGGGGTAGACAGTGACCATCACACACCATAAAATATGGGTTTGGATAATTGTGAAAGAAAAAATAGATGGCTAGCTCAATGCTTGCACAATCACAAACCTAATATCCAATTATTCTCTTTATGCGACATGTTAGGTAAGTAATATATATATTTTTAATTATAAGTCCCTTACCAAAAAATCACTTCCATAGAGAACGAGTTGTTAACCCTTAACAAAAAAATTTGTTCTAAAAGACATCGTAAACAGCGAAATACGAAATCTATGTCTTCGCTTTATAAAAAGTCTACTTATTTAACGTTGAGTCAACACATATTTACCAATTACTTTATTTATTTCTCCCAGTATTTAACTACAACAATCAATGAAGTATACGCAAATAACTTATGGATAAAGAGCTGACGCCGAGATGGCAGACTCTGCTTGATATCACGAGACGTGGAGACTCGCGACACAGATTCACATCTAGATCGTATCCGTAGAGTAAATTCAATTACTTTCAGTAATGGCACTTGTGCTAGATAACGTCAAGTGCTCGCACTAAGTTATTATTATTAGTCCTGTTAATTTTATACATTAAATGTGTCTTTTTTTAAGGTCTACTGCTGATGAAAGAGTTAGGTTGGATCCGTCGATTGACTTGATTGATGTTAAACTTAAAAGACGGTTATTCCACCCCATACGCATCTATACGTGGTAGAGCCTTGCTGCAGCTATTATACTAGTATAGCTGTAGCACGAATGGGTCGGCTCGACCGGGAAAGGACCATGCTCTCACGGAATACCAGCGTAAAATAGCAGCTTAATGCTGTTGTGTGTCGTATGGTGAGTGTAGAGAACCGGAAACCCTTTTTTACTGGGAACGAGGCATTCCATCTTAGACCTCACGAGTGACAACGCATCCGCATTTTGATTCGTAATCGAAGATCGATCTGGTAGACTGTGTGCTCGTTTGTCACTCTAATCCTATAAAAAAATCTAAAGTTAAAGTTACAGTCTATATACGTCCCACAGCTGGCCACGTGCCTCCTCTCACTTCTGAGATGGTTTTTAGGTGTGTCCGCCGTGCTGCCCCAATGCGTGTTAGCGGACTTATCTGTCTTTGAAATTCTTTTTCTTTGTTTTCCCTATTAAGTATCCTCACGATGTTTTCCTTAACTGTCGATCACGTGGTAAATCAGCACTTAAAATTGCAAGTAGCAATTTTGCGGCGGAGATCGAAAACGGGTGCTCGCGTACTGTGAAATTTATAGCGAGCACTAAGCTCCTGAGCTACCACGGCTCCCCCTAGTCGTGGTCATCCCATCTATTTAATTATAATATATGTATGTATATATATATATATATATATATATATATACAACACACACACATATATATATATATATATATATATATATATATATATATATATATATATATATGTTGTGTTTCGTAATATTAGAATAGAGTACAGGGACACTTTTATCGAGGGATTCCAACTTAGTAATCAGGGGTGACAACGCGTCTATTTTTTTATTTTTTTATTTTATACGATAGGGTGACAAAAGAGCACACAGTCCACCTGATGGTAAGTGGATACTGTGACCTATAGACATCTACATCTATCCTCAATAAAGACTCAAGATGCAGATGCGTTGCCACCCGTGAGGACTAAGATGGAATGCCTCTTTGCCAGTAAAAAGGGTCTCCGGTTCTCTACATTCACCATACGAAACACAGCAGCGTTAAGCTGCTATTTTACGCTGGTTTTCTGTGAGAGCGTGGACCTTCCTCGGTCGAGCCGACCCATTCGTGCTACAACTATACTACTAATAGAGGTGCAGCATGGCTCTATCACGTAATAAAATCGTATAATCGCGTCTGTATATGGTTTTTAATTTAACTATCCGATATATAGGTATTCAGCTAAACCCATAGTCATGGGCACAGTTTCCTTAGACTTACTTTTCTAGGTGGAGTGTATGCTCGCTTGTCGTAATTTCTTGTATACTAATATTAGAGTTCAAAAAACGTAAACAACAAGCATTTCTCCACTCCAAGCCCAAGATCAATGAGTTATGAAATTATTGTATTGTCATCGGTTCTTAATACGTCTGCGAAATATCAACTTATTCAGTATGGAAGTGTGTAAAAACTATAGTGTGTATATTAATACATAAGATACGTAGATACATACGAGTACAGGTCAAACTAATAATAAAGCATGCAAAAATAAAGCAAAATAGTTTGGAAGTTCCAAAAGTGCACGCCTCATGAGCGTTTCATTTAATTTTGATGAAAAAATAAATTGTATTATTCCTGACCTTTAAAATATATTATTTATGTGTTTTAAATTTAGCTATCTATTATTTTAACAGGTAGTGTCATCTACAGGGAAAAATATAATTTTATATGTTTACCAAAATAAATTGTATACACAAACTTTAAAATCGTTAAAGGCTGTATGGTACGTACATTCGTCCTTCAGACTAAAAAAATATGAAAGCGCCTTTAAATTTTTAATAGCAATAAGACTTATAAAAGTTGAAAATCATTTTATTAAGAAACTACACGTACTAGACTATTGATATGAAATAGGTAAACAGGTGATGTAATTTTGAAGCTAATAAAAAGAATCCGGTCTCGCTACGTCAATTTTTTTAGGAGTTATTGTGACCACATACAAAATCAACATTCGGACTTCTCCGTAATTTTTTTTGAAATCGTTTCTTTTCAAAGTCGATGAATTAGTTTTCTTGTTACGGCTATTCATATTATCGTATAGGTGCAATATATGCATTTTAAGAACACAAAATTGCTTGATCTTGACCTGTAGAGAGTATAACACTACCTAATAACATTCGCGTTATGAGGCGTGCAACATCATTAGTAGATACTGAAACATTTTTTGTTGTAATTAAATGAGTATCAACTATTACTCGAGACTATCGCTGTCACGATCACGCAATGACGCCCATGATCGTAGCAGACTACTCTAAAAAGATTTGTATGTAGAAGAAGAAGTGTCTAATGTACGAGGTAACCTTGGCGGCGCCGTTAAAACGCTCTAGTAGCAGTTGGGGCAACAGCTTGCTTGATATGACTTTAGTCTTTACAATAGGTGAGTCTGTATCGCGAATACCACATTGCAAAAAATTCATTACGATCTACGACTGAACATAGGGCTCTCCCATAGTTCCATAGGGATTTCTCTCTACAATAATTATTCACTGAAAAGTGAAAGTATTCAGTTGACACTTTGATAGTATAATAAACTATTTTGGTAAATGGCGGTCTAGGTAAATCGTTACAAATATTTCACTATTTTTATTTATACAAACTTATTTTCATCGTAATGTTAGTAATGACAGGTGCGCAGGAATTACATGCCTTAATTCCTCCCTTCCCTTTCCATCATCGGTGGGTCTTTACCCTTTTGTTGTTGATATTCCACGCATTCGAACCAAATGGTTTGCTTCGTCTTGACTAGAATAATCCGTCGGCGATTCTCTTTCCGTCTGATTACAATGTGTGCCTATACACTTGAAGAGGCCCAAGATATATAATATATATAATGTTACGCAAAGATTGTGGGATTTAAAATCTAGGGCTATACCACCAATTACATATTACAGTGAGTAAAAAAAAACCTCGGATATTTAAAAAGTTAGAGCCCTGAGCTAGAAACTGACAATCATTTAATAAAACTAGATTTACGGATGTTATCTTATGTTTAATTCTTAAAATTAGTTTTTTACGTAGAGCCACCCTGCAGCTATATTACTGGTATAGTTGCAGCATGAATGCGTTGACTCGACTGGGGTAAGACCACGCTCTCACAGAATACCAGCGTAAAATAGCAGCTTAACGCTGTTGTGTTTCGTATGGTGAGTGTAGAGAACTGGAGACCCTTTTTACTGAAAACGAAGAATTCCATCTTAGTGCTCACAGGTGACAACGAATCTGCATTTTGATTCGTAATCGAGGATAGATGTAGATCGCTCTAGGCCACAGCAACCTCTTACCATCAGGTGGACTGTGTGCTCGTTTGTTACCCTAGTAGTAGGCTAAGCTAGTAAGTAGCACCGGCACCAATGAAATTTTGATTGTAATTTTAAGTGTTGATTTAGCACAGCGTTGAACGAAAACATCGTGAGGAAACCTGCATGTCTGAGAAATAAGAAAAAAAATATTTCGAAGACATGTGAAGTTCGCCAACAAGCATTGGGGCAGCGCGGCGGACATTTCCTTGCCCTAAAATCTTCTCAGAAGTGAGAGAAGGCCTGTGCCCAGCAGTGGGACGTATATAGGCTGTTACTTTACTTTTAGTTGGACTTAAAATTAGTTTCAGTAGTAGCAGTGTTATATATATAATGTAAGTTTGGAAAAGATTCAGTACCTTGAGCTAATTTCTCCAAATTACTGGAAGACAGTCCAGTCACTTTGAAAAGATAGTCGTGAGGGATTTCTTCTTTTATCGTCGGAGCTTCAGCATCAGTTTTGTCGGCCACCATTTTGAAAACCGTTTCTTATGCTATATAAAATTAACTAATTATGCAATACCATATGTCTAGGTCGAAATTAGAAACTGTTTTACAATGTTCTGTCATTATCACGCGACGGTAGCTTAGTGCTGTAGAGATTCCATGTGTTCAAATATATACACACGGTATCTTCAAAGTTTGCTCAAGGATAAAGCGGCAAACAAATTTTCAGTATTCCTCCAGAATGTTTCGCGCATAGATACGTCTGTAATATGCACCGGTGCATATGTATTTATAAATACGAGGGTGACACTGAAAGTTATTAGAAAATCAAAAACTGAACAAAAAAGCAAGTTATTAGTTTTATTATATCTTTTCCAAATAGTGTCCATTTATATCAATACATCGCTGCATCCCGTTTTTATTATAAGCTAGGGTAACAAACGAGCACACAGTTCACCTGATGGTAAGTGGTTGCTGTGGCCCATAGACATCGACATCTATCCTCGTTTGTGAATCAAAATCATCAGATGCGTTGTCACCCGTGAGTACAAAGATGGAATGCCTCGTTTTCAGTAAAAAGGGTCTCCGGTTCTCTACACTCACCACACGAAGCACAGCAGTGTTAAGCCGCTATTTTAGGATGGTATTCTGTGAGAGCGTGGTTCTTACCCGGTCGAGCCGACCCATTCGTGCTCCAACTATACTACTAATATAGCTGCAGCATGGCTCTATCACGTTTAAAAATGGAACCACTGAGAAAAGCACTTTGCCCACTCGTCCTTAGGGCGTCCATAAAACATTTTTCTCAAAGTTTTTCTTTTATTTTTGGAAATAAATAAAAATCGCAAGGTGCGATGTCGGGGCTATAGGACGGGTGACCCAGTAATTCCACGTCTGACGTCGCCAAGTTTCAAAAGTCGATTATTTGCTTTCCAAGACAAGTGGCAAACAATTGTTAGTGTACCACTCTGCAGAAACTGTTTTTCGATCCTCTAAAACAATTGTTGCGTAATGACCACGTTCAAACTCATTAAACCAGCTGTAAACAGTGGCACGAGATGGAGCTTCATCGTGAAAGGCCTATCGAAGTGTATCATAGCTTTCTTGTTGACTTAAAATTTTAAAATTACATCAAAAGTGATAAAAAATCATTGTAGGAAAATATTCTCGCGTTAAATTCATGCTGACGTGACATAGACAATTTTCAATTTGCCGCCAAATCGTAAACAAATGACAAATTATTAAAATATATATACATAATCATCGAGTTATATGTACTACGTACTAGAGAAGCCATTCCAAACAAAAATTGTGTCCTACTCTATGTATTCGCGCATGCGCGGGAGTAGTAGTCGCACATGCGCGAAGTCTTTAATTTGATATAAAATAAGATATTTGTATAAAATTAATATAAGGATTTAATATAAAATATCTTAATTTAATCTAAACAAACATATTTCTAAATAAAATGTAATATAATAATTATTTTATGGAATTTACAAATCTTCAATTACGCAATATTTAGTTTGTATGGATTGCACTACAGTTCAGTTGAACACAGTCAATGTTCGGAATGGCTTCTCTAGTACATAGTACATATAACTCAATGTACATAATATTGACAAAGAGTTCCATTTTCAAAATTTGAACTTATTTTTTTATTATGCCGTTTACAAGTGGCCAATTCTAAAAACTTTCAGTGTCGCCCTCGTACACCGCAAACATTTGCGATAGCTTGTTTGTATGTACAACAATCGAACTATGATTGTTGCTGAGTGTGTAACGAATGTTATCGCAATGATTCTTATCTTTAGATCGCTGTTTGTATCGGGGTAAGCACTTCACCTATTATAAGTTAGTGCTTGACCAAAATCCCACCTGGTGATAAGTGGTGATGAAGACCTAGACGGTAAATCGCACTGTCTTAGCGTAACAAAAGCCTATTCAGTTTTGCCTCGACGGTGCTTAGATTGTATTCGGACGGAAAGACAGGCACCTGTACCTACGCATTAAGAAAGACGAAGCAAACCGTTTGGTTCTAATGCGTTGATTATCGACAACAATGATGTAAAGAGAAGAATTTGAAGTGAAAATTTCTTTGGAATTGTTGTGATTTGGAACTCGATGAAACGAAAACGTGACACTAAAAAGAGACAAACATATTCATCTATACTAGCATTTTGTATTCATCATGTGGGCTGATTTCGGTGAGGCAGTTGTACATATTACACACTTTATTGAAAAAACATAAGTCTTTGACCTTTGATCCTATTTACAGTAGTAAAAGAAGAAATTATAGCGTAGCTCCTATTTGGAGAACGAAAACCACCTTTGCGAAACATCAATATGACAAACAATCAGAACACTTATACAATCAGATTAATAAAATATTGCAAATATATCCATTAAAGACATATGACTGTAAGAAAAAAATAATGCAGTGGCTTAAGACACTTAATTACGATCAAACTGAAGCTTTATTACAATTTATCTTATAACACATTCACTCACTGTCTTTTTTAACACATGCACACATGCACACACAAGCAAACGCACGCACACACAAACACACACGCGCACGCGCGCGCGCGCACACACACATACACGAACACACTCACACACACACACACACACACATACACGAACACACACACACACACACACACACACACACACACATACATACACACACACACAGAGAGAGACACACACATACCCTGTTTCTTTTTTGTTGAATGTATTTAGTTAAGGGAGGGCGAGGACCTTCTACCACAAGTATCTTTATACTTAAAAGAAGTCCTCAAACTTGTACTAATTTAAGAATATGTTGGAAACAATAAACTTTCATTTCATTTCATTTCTATAGGATCGAGCCTGCGAGGGAATGAGATAGAATATAGTTGTTTATGCCCAAATTTGGTCATGTTTTAACGCCAACCAATTGCGTTCGAGCTGGTGCCTCACCCGATGGTATGTAGGTGAGATAAGCGCCGAGGTGGGGCGACCGTGCTCGACGCGTGGGCAGTCTGTCGCAGTCTGTCGCTCGACGCATGGGCAGTCGGTAACTCGACGCGTGGGCAAAACGTATGTGACCCGCCAGCCACGAGGCGTGGAGACCGTCAGGCTCAAATTCACGGCCCGTCGTGGATCTAGATAGCTAGATGAAGTACGTGCTTCTTCGTCACGTAGATATGTGAATTGTCCGATATTTAACTCGGGCGAGAGTGCGGAATAGTGTACGCGCGTCTAGTAGATATACGGTCTAGGATTCGAGCCGCGCATTCCTAGTTTGAGAGCTTCTCCCGGTTAATTGTCAAGATATCATTATAAGTGTGTCGTCGCGCTTATTGCCCCTTTTGTGTTTTGGTTGGCTAGTTAGATTAATTCGCGTGTCAACGAGGCGTATTTTGAATCTTGTGCGACGTGTTGTTCTGGTGTCGAATGAAGGAACTTAGTTGTGTTTAACGCTGAATCTGTCGGGTATCACGTGTTCGATTCTACGATGAATGTGGAATTAGGCGAATTTAAGTTAGTTAAATGTACAATGAAACTAAGAGACTGAATTAGTGACAATGAAGAAAGAAATGGTCCAGGGATCGAGCCTGCTGGAGCGATGCAGTATTTTGGGGCAGCCTGGAACTCGGCCGCTGCTAGTCGCCTAAGCTTGCTCAGGTCACAAACATTTACACCTCACTGTACACTACTCGCCATCCACTATTACACACACTCACGGCCTGCCCAAGCCTTGGTGCGAAGTTAGCTTCGGATAATGGTAAGTACTATGTGTTTCTAGCTTTCTCCCATATAGTTTATTGTGATAGAACATATTCCACGTGGCCATATTGAGGCCTGACCTACGTCTGCTCGTAAAGTCTCCGCTGATGGGCCCCGGATGATGGAATCTTTGGAGGAGCAGCCGTAGGCCGTAACAATAGTATACAGTGTTTCCTATAAAGTATGGAGATTATGCATGTGATCTATGACCAGTAAGGATGAAGAACTTAATTTGTTAATTAGAAAATAAACTTGGCGTCTGTATTATATGTAACGTAATATATTATGTAGAATAAAATGTGAAATAATTTTTAATCTTGGTAAAAATATTATAATAAAATAGCTGTTCCCCGCGACTTTGCCCACGTGTTATTTGGGGTTTTAATGTTTTTTTGCACGAAACCCTAATTCTTTTTCTAAAATAAAAGTAGCCTAAGTTACTCCTTATGACATCAGCTATCTGCCAGTGAAAGTTTCGTCAAAATCGGTCCAGCCTTTTCCGAGATTAGCCGTAATAAACAGACAGACAAAAATTCAAAAAAATATATTTTTGTTATAAGTACCTACCGCATATACTTTCATATGTATTTAGTAAATAGCTATAGAAAGAAAATTTTTTTATTCAATATAGATTATAAATTATACTTATTGAAAGTCACTCTTTTGTTTAATTTCCACTGGTTCGAAAAAACTTCTGTCCTGGGAAGAATTAGCAAGAAACCCAGCGGGACTTTTTTTTAAATAACAGCTTACAACTATGTAATTATAATTAATCACACAAAACAAATTAGAAATAGCTTGGGTGCGATCACCTCATTCCCAGGGATTATTATTAACCATAAATTCCTTAATATTATAATAACCCTTTTTATACAAACTTTGTTAGTTTTTGAACTTTGAGCAGGTTAAATTTTGTATATTTTCTGGGATTTTGTTGTAAAAGCGTATTCATCGACCCCACGAATGAATCACTGACTCGGTGGAGTCGAGTATCTGGTACTAATAACTATTTGCAGAATAAATATCACTTTATTTTTGTGTACGTACATTACATTTTTATAAATGTATTGAGAGGCCAAGGTTAATATTTTAATTTCCTTAAATTTTTATTTGACCGATTATCTCATTTTCTAATATATTTTTTTTAATATTGTCTCATTTCCTATTTTAAATGACTTGGATCTGATTCCAAATTACATGTTAAAGTAATTTGACTGCTCAATAGAAGCAGATGTCTATGTAGTCAAGTCCTT